ATCAGAGAACAAAGCAAGCTCTTCTTTCTATACCTGTTGTCAAAAGAAGCACACCAAAGCCTCAGATGAAATTCAGATATCTGAATTTAGTACAGATCCCAACTCCTCCTGTACTAAGGGTAGATTACCAGCCTTCCCAGTTCATAATTCTGTTTTTGAGGATAAATAGATTCATGGCAACATTCTTATATCTCCTTAAAAGGAACTCAAAGTCATTATTTTCCTATTTACTGGGACCACAAATTAAGCAAAGGTTTCTTTTTAGTCATACTAACTTAAATCTCATACATCGAAATCCCTTTGGAATCTTAGTGTTAGAGACAGAAATTTTGATAATTCCACAGAGGGCTGAGGGTATTTTAAATTCTACTACAGCTGTGCACTGAGCTGAGAAGGAAGGTAGAAACAYGAACTTTTAAAAATCCTGTCAGACCTCCCTAAGGAGGAACTAYGACCCCAGATTCAGCCATTCTCCACTAAATCTGGCTCTCCATTGCCTATTTCCTACTGACAAAGTATTTCTCCATATAGAGAGACAAAAGTGCCACTCATGCTGAATATTTATGAGTGTCAGCAAAGTGAGGGAAAAAGAAATTCCAGAGGAAATTTAAATGAAACTACTTCATGCTGGCATTTTCTAATTGTTGTGTCTAGTCTCATAAGAATGAACTCATCTCTGAAAACACCAAGTTTATATACAGAGAATAACCTCCTGGGAGAACAATGATGACCAAGGCAGAAGCACGAGCTGCTGAAACAATTACTGAGTGGAAGCTAGAAAGAGCAAAGCAAATAAGCCTGTGAAAATGTTATGAAGCTCCTCTAAAGATGACATCACAAAAATCTTAGCACATCATCCTTTTTTTGAGAAGCAAAGAAAAAGAAGAGGTAGTCAAACTGAAACAACACTGGAAAATTGTACTCATGTTATTATTGTAAATTGCAGTTGCAGTAGCAATTATTACTGTCAAAATTCTATAGTGTAGGGGCTGGGATTGAAGCTCAGTAGTAGAGTRTTTGCTTAGCATGTGTGAGACACTGGGTTCAATTCTCAGCACTGCATATGAATAAATAAATAAAATAAAGGTCTATCAACAACTAAATTTTTTAAAAATTCTACAGTATACAGCCTTGTAAATACTTTTTCTTCATCCAAAACAATTTTTGTTTTTTGTTTACATACATTTTAATTCATTGCCAATGAGGTGATTTAAAGAAAAAGGAAGAGCTGAGTATAGTGGCCTGTTATTCCAGTGGCTCAGGAGGCTGAGGCAGGATTGCAAGTTCAAAACCAGYCTCAACAATTTAGGGAAACTCTATGCAAATCAGCAAGACTCTGTYTCAAAAATAAAAAGGGTATGTGGCTCAGTGATTTAGTGCCCCCGAGTTTAATCCCTGATACCAAAAAAAGGGGGGAAGGGGGATGAATATCAGTGTATGAAAAGAAACTGTACATGTAGACCACTACTTGTAGCTTACCATAAATCCTGCCTTCTAGTGTAGGAATGACAAACAGGTTTTATCTTTTGTACCAATTTCACCTGACTGATAGAAGCTGTGCTGAGAAGGAATACTTGCACTAAAATCTAGTCTCCTAGTTCTCAACTGTGGGCAATTTTGCTTCCCCAAAGTATGCCTGGTGATGTCTAAAGACATTTTTAGTTATCTGAACCAGGGGATGGGGAGAGGGAATCTGGTACTGTCAGTGGCCAGGGACAATACTAAATAGCCTATAGCCTCCCCTTTCCCTAAATATAGTATTTTCTGGACCAGAATATCAATAATCCTAAAGGCAATATTATAGTTTGGATCTGGAATATCCCCTAAAAGTTCCTGTGTTGAAGGTTCTGTCCCAAATTTAGCATGTTCCSAGGCCAGGCCTTGTGGGAGTGACTGGATCATAAGGGTTCTGACCTCATCACTGGATTAATCCACTGATGGATTAAGAGTTTAATAGGCCATTAGGAGGTGGTGGAAACTTTAGGAACTAGGGCCTAGTTGATAGAAGTAGGTAATTGGAGGCATGCTCTTAAAGCATATAATTTGTCCCCAGCCCCTTCCTCTCTGTTTTCTGGTCAACATGAGGTGAGCAGCTTTTCTCTTCCATGATGTATTGCTTCTCCATAGACCTAAAAGCAATCAGGGCCAGAGACCATGGATTGAAATCTCTGAAAACCGTGAGGCAAATCTTTCTTCCTCATAAATTGTTTAACTCAGATATTTTATCACAGCAATGTAACTGCTTAACACAGTGGAAAACCATGGCCTAGTCAGATCTACCCTGTAGTTTGTAAATGGATYCAGGTCTTCAGTCAAATAAATAAATTTGTCTTTAGGCAGTTTTCCTTACCTACTTCTCCTAAAGTTGGARAAACCCAGCATAACCTGATTGTGGTAGTAAAACTAAGAAATCAATTTCATTTATGCAAATCACACAAATCTGTTCCTAATTTTTACTGTGATCATGGACATAAATTATTTTATCCCTTAAAGCTTTGGTTTCTTCATTTGTAGGAAGAGGGAATTGAACTAGATAAACTGTGCTCATACATAAAAAGTCTTGAATATACTTAAGGAATAATATCCTCATGTTAATAATAAAGCCCTAGTTGATATTCTCAAAAAAAGAATGTGTCTTTAGCTTGAGACAAGTTGACCAATTTTAATCTTTTACTAGGTGTGCCTTAAACTACAACTGTTTTAATTTTCACATAATGCTTGACTATTTTCCATTTGAATTGTTGTCTTTACAATAAGATGCTTTGGCATCTTTCAGGGTACCCTACCTCCCTGTTTGTCCATTACACTTACCCAACCTTGGCTTTTCCCAACCTGCCAACCATCTGTACTCTGTCATCTATTCCACCATCAAACCATTGGGACCAATTACATAATTATAATTATATATTTTAACCCTATAAGTCTCCAAATATCAATGAATCAATTCAAATATTTCAGGGTCTTCTCTGTACTTGTGATGCTAATACTGAGGATGGAAATAGGGGCTCAACTCTAAGTGTTGATAAAATAAACAAAGATAGAATTTCAAGCTATAAAACATTTTCAGGCTAATTAAGAGGATGCAGCATGTGAAATTATAAGAGAACTAGTTATATTAAGTAGGTATAATAGAGAAGTGTCATTATGATGATAAAAAATGACAAATATGAAATGGAATGTCTGTACAACACAAATGAAGGATGACCACAGAAACTATCATAAAAATATTAAARAAAAAACCTGTTCAAATCACATGCAGGATTGCCAACAACCTGCTTCAAAGATGGGTTCTATCTTTTAAAGGTATATTGGATATGCAAAATATGRCTACAGAACAAATTGTAAGAACCAATTAACATCCCTCCAGAGAGTCAAACAGAAACATCTGGAAGTTAATGGTTTAAACTCATGCAGTAAGTCAAAACACATGTATTAAAATAGAGAGCCTATAAACCACTCTGAAAGAGGAACAACAACAACAAAACAACATATATATATATAAAATAAGGGGTAGTAAAATGGACCATCCAGTTTACCTAGGTCTCAGACACATGCAAAAAGGAACTTTCTGAAGCTACATATGTGTACTTTCTTTTTTAAAAGTCAGTTTTTAAGAATTAAGAATAAGACCTGAACCTAAATAACTCTAAATGGCATAAACATTTGTATATTTTGTTAAATCCTAATAAGATTATCTTTACCTGTGGTGCCTTTTGTGGAAGTAAAGTTAGTATTGCATTGTYTAGTATTTCACTCCCCATTTGTCTAATAGCACGTACCTCAAGTTTCTGGCATTAATTGGTACAAATGAGTTTTGGACATGTGAATTTTCCCTATTACCAAATAATTCTGTGTTTAAATGAGCACAAGATTTAAATGAAGAGTAACTCAAGGTTTCCAYACAGCATTTTCTCCTTAGAGGATAATATTTTGGAGATCTGCTCCTGTTTAAGAACAAATTATAACTCTCTATGGCCTATTTCYGCAACTCCAAACTCCTTCGGCCAGCACTTCAGGGGTTCCATCAAGCTTCAACTTTATTTCAAGCCTATTAACTTTATCTGCCACTAGTTCTTAACTCCTGCTCAATGATTTAAAATGTTTATGAAGTCTACCATTCTTAATTTTTTAAATCAATATAATCTTAATTTAATCTAATACCCAGTACTCTAAAAAATGCTGAATAAGTCACCGCTTTATTCAATTCATCACACATTTGGCATGGTGGTAAATAGATGACACCAAATGAATAGATTTTAAATTGAAAGAAAACTGTCAAGGGTTATTTATATTGTTTTCTAATATCTTATTTGTTATTTAATGTAAAAAATGTGAAAATATAATTGCTCTTTTGAAATTCAAAGGCAGGCCATYGAGGTGGTACATGCCTATAATCCCAGTGACTCAGAGGCTGAGACAGAAGGATCACGAGCTCAAACCTAGCCTAAGCAAAAGCAAAGCACTAAGCAACTAAGTGAGACCCTGTCTCTAAACAAAATATAAAATAGGGCTGGGGATGTGGCTCAGTGGTTGAGTGTCTCTGAGTTTAATTCCCAGTATCCGCTACCCCAAATGAAATTCAAAGGCAATTTTTAATAGAACTCTCAACAGAATCCTTTGATAGTGAGTCAAAATAAAATTCCCCTTTGTTTGTACTTACTCTAATTCATCAAAGAGTTAAGCATAAAAGATTCAGGAAGAGATGAGAGGGAAAAAAAAGAATACAGAAAGAAAACGAAAACAATTTACATCACACCTTTACCTGTTAGCAGGGATTATGGAAATAATTTTTTWAAAATCCTTTCTAAAATGACTAGAAAGGTCTGAGATATTTGTATTAGTGATCTACAGGTAAGAAACACCAGGAGGGTTTTCAGGATGTTAAAAGTAAAAATTTTTTTGGAATAATATTTTTAAAAATGTCTTTGGGATTCATTAGAAGGAGAAGATTCATGTGAGTATTAAGTACAAACTTAATAATACCAGTGGTAAAAACATACCTAATTTTATTTTCCATGTCTTCACTATCTGATTCTTCAGAGCTTCTGTATTTATCTGGATCTGGAAGTGTGCTSGGATCAAATCCATCATCATCATCATCACTCCAATCCAGAAAGGCTTCCTCTTCCTCTTTGGCCTAAGAAAACACAAGGAAAATTATAATTCAAAAGTCAATTGGTAGGTAATCAGGTTTTATTTCTAGACCCAAAGAGATACCCTTCTAATTGACAGCTTCAAATTAGAAGTGTTCTTTTCTGGTAAAGGCTTTCTATGACTTTCAGAACTATGGACATTTGCAAACCCATAGAAAATCTTTATCATTTCAAAAATAAAATAAGATTCAAAAAGTATATCATAAAGTTCTTTGAACTTAACACAAAGGAAAATGATCAATCCTATTACTTGCAAGCCTCTTAGATATCAAGGAAATAAAACTTGGTTTTAGTCCTTCCATCCAAACACATTTAAGCACTAAAAACATTAGGTGAAAACATCGAGGACTAGAAGTCAGAGTACAGTAACATTTGTCTGATTTTATGACAACAGTTTGTCTTAATATACAACTGGATCTGCAACAAGCTTATTTATAATAAGGGATATTCTAAATTCAAATCCAAGTACAAAGTCATCAAGACTACTGGGAAAGAGGGAGAAATACAGTACAGCAATCAACCATGCAGGCCACTACAGAAGTCCTCTAATACTTTAACAGCTCTCCTTTGGTAACCCCTAAATTATGTAACAAAAGGAGGGGGGAAAAGTAAGGACTTTTTTTTTTCTTTACTTCAAAAGTCCTTATCTGCTTTCCTGATAAAGTTCCCTGGTAAAAGTAAAAAGTCTAGAAGCAAGTATCAGAAGGGAAAGACAAGAGAAGATTCCCATTGGAAGCAGTAAGCAGCACACCTACTACATGCTGTACCATTTACTTGAAAATAATGATACCAACAAAAATTGAAAGTTWTCATATACTCAAGAACACTAATCTCTGGGTTACAAGGTATTTCCAATTTTCCAGTCTGCTGCTTGTCAAGGAATGTGCTGTCTGAAGGTAGAGGCAGAACAGGCTCAAAACAGTTCAATTTTTTAGTCTCAGTATACCTTTAAAACTTAACAAAACAAAACAAAAAAACTGGGGGATCCCAAAGAGCTTTTGTTAGAGTGAAGAATATCTATTGACTTTTACTGTGTTAGAAATTAGAATAGAGTTAAAAAAATAATTTATAAATTCATTTAACAATAAACCTACTACATGTTGACATAAAAAGCATATTTTTATGAAAGAAAGGCTGTAATTTTTGAAACTAAAGAATAACAACTTACGTTTTTTCAAGTCTCTAACATCTGACTTACAAGAAAAAAGCTGCATTCTCAAATCTGTTTCTGCACTCAATTTTTGCAATATGTTATTCTGGTTGAGGTATAAGAATAAAATCTGTCCTTTCATGGGTAGTTGGGAAAGGGAGAAGTTGTTCAGATAACTGTGATTATTCTTTTTTGATACCATGACAAACCCTAGAGAGTAGTTTCTTCCACAGTAGTTACAATGTGACATCAGAAAGCACACCCATTAACTTTTTGTACTGTTACACTAAACTCTATGGGCTTACTTTGTACTTTGAACGGATTTTTTAAATCAGTATATGATTTTCAGAATCAAGCACTGGTCTTGTAAAATTCTGGGTAGAATTATACAGATCCTCTTTATATAGATCTCTAAATGTTGACATATTTCATTAAATATTAACAACTTTTTTAAAAAATCAATTTGCTAGCACCACAAAAGTCATTTTAAAGGCTTCTGAAGTACTAGGAAGTTTTTGGTGATTACAAGTTTTCCAAAACCACATATTATATTGGTGAATGTAAGTTTTCCMAAACTCCTTTTTTTCCCCCTTAAGAGCTCAAATTTTAACACCAGGAACAAATATTATCAGTTGTTCTTTTGAAGTATAGGTAATAAGTAGTATTTTCCTCTGACTTAAACATTTTTCTATTTATCTTAACAGTGGACTAGGATATGCCTAGAAATGATTTTCTTCATGTTCATCCTTATTGGTGTTCTATAAGTTTCTTGGCTCTGTAAGTTAATGTTATTCACTGAATATGGTAAGTGTTAAGCCACTGTTTCATCAAATATTTTTATGCCTCATTCTCACCTATATTTTTAGAAATGCACATATATGTATATTAGACTACTTCACAGTTCTCTTAGGATCTACCTGTTTTTCAGCAATCTTTTTGTTATTAGAACACATCTGTTCCTACTGGGTCTTTGGGTTTTCTATTACCTTCTCCTGATATTTTCAAGCTGTTTTTTGTTGTTGTTCTTGCTGAAGAAAAGACAGTCTTCTTAATAAATGGTGCTGGGAAAAGTGGACATCTATATGTAGTAGAATGAAATTTAACCCCTATCTTTCAATCCCACACAAAACTGACTCAAAGTGGATCAAAGACCTAGGAATTTGAGCAGAAGCCCTATGAATGGTAGAAGAAAATGTAGGCCCAAAATTCCAATGTGTCGGCTCAGGAATGGGCTTCCTTAAAGACTCTTTAAGCATAAGAAGTAAAATTAAAAATCAATAAATGGGATGTTACCAAATTAAAAAGCTTTCTCATAGCATATAAAACGATCAGGAATATGAAGAAAGAGCCTATAGAATGGGAGAAAATCTTTGCCACCTGCTCCTCAGGGCATTAATAACTAGGATATAGAAAGAGCTCAAAATATTTAACACAAAAATAAACAAACAAAACAGGAAAAAAATCAAAACAAAAAAATATATAACCTAATCAATAAATGGACAAAGGAACTAAACAGATACTTCTAAAAAGAAGAAATACAAATGGCTAACGAACATATAAAAAAAGTTCAATATCACTAGCAATTAGAGAAATGCAAATTAAAACTACGATTTCATCTCACTACAGTCAGAATGCAAATTATTAAGAATACACTCACTTAACAGTAAGTGTTGGTAAGGATGTGAAGAAAGGGGTACACTCATACATWGCTGGTGGGATTGCAAAATGATGCAACTACTATGGAAAGCAGTATGGAGATTCCTTAGAAAACTTGGAATGGAACCACYATTTGACCCAGTTATCCCACTCCTCGGTATATGCCCAAAGGATTTTAAATCAGCATATTATAGTGAAGCAGCCACACAATGTTTATAACAGCACAATTCACGATAACTAAGCTATGGAGCTAACCTACGTGCCCTACAACATATGAATGAATAGAGAAAATGTAGTATATATACACAATAGAGTATTACTCAGCTAAAAAGAAGAATGACTGTATGGTATTTTCTGGTAAATTAATGGTASTATCACGCCAAGTAAAATAAGCCAATACTAAAAAGTTGAAAGTCAAATGTTTTCTCTGATATGTGTAATCTAATCCAAAATAAAGGGGAAGGATTAAAAAAAAAGGAATAGAACTAAGATCAGAGGAGTAGACAAAGGGGAATGAAGGGAAGGGTGAAGGAATGGGATAGGGAAAGTCAGTGGAATAAATCTGACCTAACTTTCCTATGTACATATGTGAATATACCACAGTGAACCTTGCCATCACTTACATCCACAAGATACTAATTTAAAGAAAAAAACTATAAGTAAACAGAAGAAAGATCAGTAGAGCAGAGGGAARGGATTAGGGGGGTGGGAGAAAGAAAGGGGAAAAGGAAGTACAGGGGACTGAATGAGAACAAATTATATTCCATGCTTTTATAATTATGTTATATTCTATCATTATGTTGCAACTAAAAAGAACCAATTTTAAAAAACACTGGATTGGGATGCTGGGGAAAAATTATAAGGTTAATGCAAAATATATTATAAAATTTGTAATAAATATATAATAAAATTATATATAACAGACTCAAAAATTTCTGAAGTCTATGTTAGGCAACCAGGCCTCTATTTTATGTAACTCAACAAATGCTTACTTATTCAGAATCATTTTGTTCTTATTGGCMGATAATAAGCAGCAGCTCAAATATAAAGATATATTTTATGAGGAAAAGAAAACTCCTTTTTTAGTTCACTTACCAAATTAATTTTAGAAATTATACTTTTCAACTTTAAGATTTCCAGATTTTTTAAAAAATAATTTTCACTGTTCTGAGATTACCTGTCCATTCACTGATACCAAATTTTCTTTAATTCTTTGAACCTATTTTCCCTTACTTCTTTAAGTATAATTATAAAAACCTGCTTTGAAGTCTTTGTGGGGCTAAACATCAGTTTCTACTGACTACCTTTTTCTAAGGAATGGATAATCTTTCCTGTTTAATTCCATGTCCAATGTTTTTGTAGACAACTGGGCACTGTAGATAACATGTTACAGAAACACTATTTTCCTATTTTCTGAGGCTCATTGAGATTATATTCTAATAATCTTGCCTGGATTCAAACTGCAAACTAATCCATGATATAAAGCTGGTTATCTCTGTTATGTTCTTATGACTTCAAACCACTGCTTTTTAGCATGGTTTTGTACAGGATTCTCCTAAGCCTGTGAAATGTGGCACTTCATCAAGGATTTAGGCAGAGCTGGTCTTATCTTGGCTTTTTAAGGATTTCCCTAATTTCCAGCTGTTCTGCTGACCTTGAGATCTCTCTGTACTCTAACACTTCAAGTAAATTATTCTATTCATACTATATTAATACCTAATACCCTTTAATATAGCCTTTTATCATTAATGATAAAGCGAAGATCTTCATATAATAAGAGAAATAAATCACATGTTGAAACTTGGGATAATATTTCAGTTGATATTCCAGTATAAACATTTCTCTGTAGAAAAATAGTAGTTTGGAATGAAAGTTTACTGTTTAGTGGATAAAATATTATTTGGATTTGTGTTCACATGCCTTTTGTCATCAATCATTTTCATTAACCTTTTTTCTTTTATTTTGGCCTATTCTTTGAATGGTTGGAAATGTATAACTACAAAATGTATAATGCTTCTATTTTAAAAAGTATATTGTAACTAATTCATGCCTTTATCTAAACATACACACACACACACACACACACACACACACACAAAATCACTTATGTCAAAATATAGTATAAATAAAAGTCACAAAGTGAACAGAGTGTCACCATAATGAAAAAAAAATTGGAGA